CCGGCAGAATTCCATCCGGTCCTGCTGCTTTCCCGCATTTCAGCAGTTTTATGGCATTCAGTATTTCTGCTTTTGTCGGAGGGCCTGTGTTCACTGGTAGTTCTGCCGTTGCTGGTGGTATTTCTGGACGAAGTGCAGGTGGTGGTCGATTCAAGAGCTTCTTGAAGTGGTCAGCCCATCGTTTCCTTTGTTTCTCTTCTTTCGTAATTAAATTTCCTTCTTCATCTTTTATTGGTTTCATCTGTGTTGGTCTCTTCCCAGATTGTAACCTGGTTATTTGATACAATATTGTCGGGTCTCTGTCTCTCCTACGTGCAGCCTGTTCTGCTTCACTTGCCAGTGTGTCGTAGAAGCGTCTTTTGTCTTTCCGTGCATTCTTCTTCACTTCTTTGTCCAGTGTTTTATACATTGTACTCAGTTCCTCTTGTCGTTGAGCATCCTTGCACTGGTTTATCTTCTGCTTCACCATCCTCCTCTCCCTCATCTATCAGCTTCCATGTATCCATTGAGATCCATTCCTTATTTTCTTTCTTCTTCCTTCCCAATACGGCTGTGCAGGTTTCTTTCAACATAGCTTTCAAATAGTTCCAGTGTTTTTCCATGCAGGTTCCCTCAGGGATGTTGCTCAATGTCTCCCATTTTGTCCTGATGAGTGACTGACGTGATGTCCTTTGTAGCCTCGTCTTTCGCTTTCTGTTGTGTGTGTTGAACTTGAACTGTAGTCTATCACCAACTTCTTTCAAGGCTTTCAACTTGATTTTGAAAGTAGGTTCCATGCATTAGATAGTGAGTTGTGTGACTCTATATCTGCTCACCTTCTTCATCTGATCTTGTGTCCACTAGGCTGGCTGCGTCTCCACTTTACTCACATTGAGATGAAGTCGATCTGATTTTTAGTGTGTCCTGGTGTCTGGTGAAGTCCATTTCGCTTTGTGAATATCCCTGTGTTTGTACACACTGCCTCCAATCACCAAATCGTTGAATGCGCAAAAACCTGCAAACAGTTCTCCATTCTCATTCACCTCACCGAATGTCTCTCGACACATGACGCGTGAGTTCTCTTCCTGTGTTGTCCGCTCCCAGTTTGGCATTCATATTGCCTATTAGAATTTTGATGTCGCCAACTGGAGTGGGGTCTTGTCTAGTACCGATTTCAGTCGCCTATTTCATGCATATTGTCTAAAGAAAACCAAACTATTCAGTATTAGTTATTACCATCTGCAGCTAGGAGATTTATTTTCATATTAGACGATGGATAAATGTAGAATTTCATAGAAAAAAACATGATTCGAACCAGTAGCCTTTGGAATATCGGTTCGTTAGTCTATCGACTTGGAAACCAGAGCTAATCACTAACAATAGACTTCAGTTTCACCTCAGTCAATAAATGCTTTGCATAGCTATTCATTTAAATGAGAGATGTACAAATGTCAATGTTATCAAAGAAATTGTTTAGCTGACTAATGTTCTCTAGCATAGTCTAATTAAAAATCAATTGAACTCTTTCTCGTTTTAAATTAAGTCGATTTGAGTTCAGATGAGATGAGGTTGAGCACTGATTGTGAATGTCTCGTCAAAAATCATATACGGACTGACAAAATCAAAATGAACGTAGAACCTTGCAAATAAGTGCATCGGTTCCAGCTGCCACATTTCACAGAAGTACGCAAAGAACAAGTGGAAATAAAAGGAGTGATATCAAAGTAGATAGAGTAATGTGAGAGAATAAATAGTTTGAAGATAAAGATGAATATTCAAGCTTTAGGTGTCAAGGAGTGAATACATCTGTGCCACTGTGAACGATTTTCGGCCATATCGCCGAGAATTCTCAATCACTAATTTATTTGTTTCGGGGACCTCAGTCAGGTAGTCTACATTTCCCTCACACGCCTCAAGTCAACAGTCAGGAACTTCATCGACTGGTCCCAGGTCTCGGTCTGGCTACCCTGAACCCCTTTCTATCCCAATCCAACTTCCCCTAGCATGACACGTCGAGGTAGATGGTTCGACATGCGCAGTACATGGTCCAAGCCATCTTAGTCGACTAACGTTCATAAATTCGTCAACCGACTTGCTTGTCTTGACTAACCTCAACATTTCTCACACAGTAATTCCACCTAACGCGAGCAGAATACATCGACGACTAGACGGAAGCAGGAAGTCAACTAATGATTGATTATCATAGCGCAGTCACTGAGGCCGCAGATTTAAAACCAATAAAAGCATAACAAGTTTCAGTTTCGTTAAACAACTTCGTGATAATATTTCAAAGGTCAACGAGCACTCATTCTAGACAGGAAATAAGTTCTTCCAAGTATCTTAAATCAAATACAAACAGTTAGATGTCAAGTTATTTTTATACTTGTTCATGAAACTATGTTGTTATTATTTAGTATCAAAGTTTAAGTAAATCTTCAACCTTACACACGAAACATACCAAAAATTATCGGCGACAAAATTTGATAAGTGCACTCAAAACAATCGCCAGATGCAATGAATCAACAATAGATGAAGTCATTAGTAGTTAGACAAACGAAACAACTGCAAGCGCAGAAAAGGCTCATTCCCAAGAGTTGATTTTCAATCCAGAAACTTTTGACGAAAGCCATTGGATAACCAAAACAAAAAAATAGGATGCCTTAAAATGTAGACACCTCTACAACCTACGAAACGAACCCACCAGAAACTATAAAGCCCTGTTAAGTGAATCATCTCCAAAAGTAAGAATAGTCTCAAAAGGAGAAATGGTAGGATATATTACCTCCCAAAAATCCAACCGAGAATTAATGTGCGCTGCCACTCAGACTTTTAAAAATACCACGTGGTATTTCAGGTTAGGTTCCACAAACTCATACACTAAATGATTTATTCACAAGTTGGCTCCATGAAAGCGAAAAATAAACCAAAGTTTCGCACCTGTTTATGATAACAAACTTCATTCTCTATAGTTTATTTCAATGTATCAGTGGCTTGGTCATGAAATCCATCATTTGTCCCATTACAAATCGAATCGCAGTGATCAACATTCAAACCGCATCAATGGCAATGGTTACTAACTAATGACCGATTACCGAACGTATCAGTCTTACAAACTTATAACTGCGTGGATTCAACATTATTAATATCCAATAGTATCGAGATATCCGCATACGAGCCCGTTGACCAACAGAAGTCGAGCAATTCGGCCCTATATAGCAACGGGAAATTACAAGTATCATAACAACAACTGACACCCGTTGAACAAGAGGTGGCTGTCGTGTCTCAGTGGCTTAGTAGATAAGGCTCTGGCATTTGAAGCGATGGGTACTGGGTCCGAGCCTCAGTGGGAAGAAAAGCACTCACTGAGGTGCAGGTAAATCCAGCTGATCAGTCCCAAATAGGACGAAACGCGCGTCCTGCATTTCTCTGTTAGTCACTAAGATCAATATAGCATCTGATAAGATTAAGTTTTACATGAAGTCCAATTGGTCCATCAACTGTTAATGATTATTGGAAGACTTACTTGGCTACAACTGGCGGGTGGGTGATATTTGATGTAACAAGATCACCTATTAACGACAACTCTAGTACAGGCAATGATTCAATAGGAACATGTGAAGTTGCCGAATACAGTTTTACGTGTACTTAAAGTATAGATGAACTATTGGTAGAATACTTTATTTTTGAAATGCAGGATTACTATAAGGAATTCTAATGTGCACGGATCAAGTTGAAAAATAAAACACTTATGAACAATTCATCGATTTTAAGAAACCAAGGTACCAAAATAGTAATCTACACAATTTCGATTAAAAAAACAAGTGACAACTACAATAGCTGTAATCACTTAATCAGCAATAACTTTGATAGATCACTAGTCTGTAACCGATGTCATGTTATCTAAAAAATAACCGCCAAACGAATTCCATCGACCAGATTTAAAAATGTTCACCGACCTGGGAAACTTAACATCGTAGTGACGTTAGGTTAGTAACAACCGGCATGTTATAGTGATACAATTTTTGACGACCGACCATAGATCATCATCATCAAGATCAACATAGGACCAAAGATTAGTACGTAACGGTCAAAAATGCCACATCTAATATCAACACATCAAGGAACTAGGCAATAAAATAAAGACGGACAAGAAGAGAAACACCATGAAAGGAAGTAGGATTAGAAAGTAGTAAAAAAGAGGAAGGAAGAATGAGATGATGAAATTAAGTATAGCGGTTAAGATGAAGATGATGCATGTATGCATCTGCGCCACTGACATCGGTTCTCAGCCATATCACCTACAGTCTCCAACCACTGGTTTCTCTTATCCTGTGGACTTCAATCACCTAGTCTGCATCGTCCAACATAGCTCAAACCAACAGTCAATGACTTCACGCGTTGATGCCATATTTTGTTCTGGTCGCCACGAGCCTTTATCCAGCCTGAACCTACTTCGATCAACAATGTGCGATGAGGCAGACGGTGGCTAGACCATACGTAACACACATCCCAGCCATCCCAGTCGATAAAGGTTCACAACCGCATCAATTGTCTTACCTCTTCTCCTTAAAACTCTAACTCTGAATTCTCTGTTACTTATGTGATGACACCATAAGATACGGCTTACATGACGAAGGCAGAGTTGGTCAAACACCTGAAGCCTTTTCGTGTCTTCTATCTTTATTGCCCACGTTTGTCATATAGTAGAATAGAGCGGAGTGCAGCGCATTACACTTGACTCTTAATAGACAACTGGATATCGCGGCAGTGCCAGAGATTTTGTGAGTTGGCAAAAACCAACTGACCAACGCACCAGGGTTGATCCAACTTCCCAGGTAAGCAAAGTGTTCAACGCTTAACCACTTCACTCTCTGTTGTTAGTCGGGGTACCGTTGACGACCAAACATCTTGATATTTTTCACGACTGTATAAATTCTGAGTCAGAAACAATGAAAAACTTAAAGCAGGTCAGACTCAAAAAGAAAAATTACCAAATAATATGCAGAGAAAAAGAGAAATACCTGCACGTCCATTTTTAACTCCATTTATATCCTTGCCTTCTACAACTATAGGAATATGAGCACTCAATTGAATTTCTAAATTACGTAGTTCTTTTGCCAACTGTTCAACAGTTCGCTCTAATGTTATACAACGATCTCGTTCGAAAGCAAGTTGACGATTAAATCTAGCATAAGTTCCATTCAAAAATTGCAAAGCTTCAGTACACGTCTACAAAAGAAGACAGAAATTATGTATCATATAAATATGGGCAAACCAAGTGAACTTATTAGCAATATGTGTAGAATAGTTTTGTGTTAGTATGATAAAATCTCCTCAGTTATAGAAATATTAAGTACGAAATACCGAAATTTAATTCGTCTTTGTGAGGGATTATCTTGCTCGGTAGACTTGGTGTTTATACAGCGGTGATAACTTGAAGCTTTGTCTACAACATGATTTAAACTAAGAATTTCCAGATTCTCAATTAACTCATAAGAGATCATCTGTGTACGTTTGACACCTTATTACATGAATTTTAATTAATATGCAGATTTCTAAATTGAATAAACGTCATCTGAACTGTTGAAACGATTCATTCATACTATTATTAGATTTATGATTTAGGTAGATGCTAAAGGATACAATTCAGTGTAAAAAATAAAAGAGACAGACAAATGGGCGAAACAGTATAGACTTTCGCAGATCACACTATATTGTTACAAGGTGATACAGTTTGCAACACAAAAAGAAAATTTACAGTATTAATAGATTACTGAGATGAACAAATTGTAGGTGAAGAGAGGAAATGAAATGTAGTGCAATCTTTAAAAAATGTCACGAAAACATAAAAAGTTGATAATTATATTTTTAACACACTACTTCTGGGTTCGAAGAAGTTTCACCAAAACAGTTGCTTCTAGTATTATTCTGTAGTTATATTTTAATAAGCTTAGCTTTCACCCATTAATTACTGCTAGGTATTTCAGTGCTCAGAAACAACATCTGTTTAGTAAGAAGTAGATCCCCACTTTTTTGGTCTAATTGGTAGAGTTGAAATCCACGTGTCAACATCTATGATGTATTAGTATTGTGATTAGCAGAGAGAAGAATGTTACCGCTTGTATCGCCCACTGTTCAATCAGAAGCTTAAATGAGGAAAGATTAGTCCAACCATTGCATGTATGTAAAATTATAGCAACTGGTTGTACCAACTAGCAAGTATTAACTGAACCATACACTACATGGTAACGAATTCCTGAAACCTCGATAGCTTTAGCAAAGAAGTCTCAAACTTGCTGCACACTTCAGATTAATGAAAAGAAATTCTATGAACTTAACAATCTACTCTGAGCACACCTTTAATTTACCTTAATCCGATTAGCACCATATACGTTAAACAATGCAGAATCTCCGCATATTTACGCTTAAAACTAAGGTTATCAGCCTAATTCATCGATAGTAACCGAGCAGAAATGTGCACTTAATCAATGTTAATATCACCCTAATACAATTAACAAAGAGTATTTTTATAAACAACTAACTTCATTGTAAAAGAGATGGAAAAAAACAAATAAACTCAATTCTTTAAAAACAATACATAATATGGTGTGAAAAATATCTATTTGCGTCATCAACTTTGGTTATTTCATAGAATGTCAAATTTTCGACTTTCAAAATTAAAAAAGGCCTTAATTTGAAGTGGTATTCAGAATAAAATTATACATGAAACTACACTGGAATCAAATATTTAACCCTTACTTAACACTTCCCTGTTGTTCCAACATAGCAGTTATTCGCCGCTACCTTTCAACTTATTTTATCAATGATATTCTGATATATATATATATATATATATATATATATATATATATATATATCATTTGAGAAAGACCTTTAATCCTAAGCATATGTATTACGTTTTTTCACTACGCATACGCTATACAAATCATAATTAGTAGAGTGAAAATATTTTTAAGATCAGCACACCAGTAAACACTCTTGGTGGTAAACTAAAGTTAATCATTGTGATATTTCGAAATCGAACTTCGAATAAACAGAAATCCAATGAGGTAGCAGAGATTATTTACCGGAAAATAATAATCGATGTGGATGAAAATATTAAACATTACATTAAAGTCACATTAGGGAACATTTCTCCTTCTCAGTATCCCTCAGTGTCCAATGTTCTAACTCTTAATATTTGTATCCGACATCTTGTCTTCTCTCCAGAATTTTCACAAAGCAATCTTTATCACTTCTTCTGTTTTCCGATACTGTTATATATGCTGTTGACAAACATTTCTATAAGTAGTATTGGGAGCAAGTTGGAGAAAGTTAAAGTTTGGCTGTGAAAAGTCGAATACAGAATCAATGTGAGAACAATTCTGCTTCAACACTTTGAGATCTAACCGTTAAAGACACCATGTAAGCATACTGAGTCCCCGAGAAATATGAAGTTGATTTGAAATATAATTTTTGATGTAGACACTGAGATCAGTTATAATTGTTTATGTAATTTGCAAGAAACCTAAGAGTGATCAGAACAAGATATGGTACTACTTCATGAACCCTTTCATCGTCGAGTATGACTTATTTATGGAGATGTACACTGCCTGACTATGATGTTTGTCAATAAATATTCGTGTAATTGTAACTGTCATAAGTGTTTACTCGCCAGATTATGAGCTACAATTATTGTATAACGGCTTATATTACTACCAGTTGGTTAGGTCGAAGTCGGTGGAATGCAGTTTGAACTCGAAAAATAAAAACGAGATAATGAGAAAATAAAGTTCTTAAATGTGATCTTTATTTGTCAATTCAAAGCACCTGAATGCTAATCATTAACCCACAACACATGCTGTAATACGATCGAAAATGAGACGCTCAAAGATGACATAGCATGTTTATCATTTTGCAGTATTAACCACCTTCATTCTAACGTGATCAGAAGAGACCATTATCCAGCATAACTTCTATCTTGAATGAGAAGTATGCTAACAACAAGCGAATTGGAAGAACAAGACGATAAAATGGAAAGTTAGGGAAACAAGGAATAGAAGAGGAAAATGAAGCAGTACGAGACATAAAGATTGACAAGATCATCAAGTTCCCTGTTAGTATATTTAGTTGGTAAATCATGTGACAAGCTATGAATTAGATGTGCAGTGTTATGCATAACAAATAAATTATTCTCTACCCAGGTCGTACTCTTACATCATACTGACGAAATTTAAGAGATCGATCTACACGTGTATACTCATGGGTGAGATAAATTTGAAGCCATATACAACCCAGTAGATTAAGTTGTTAGCATTCACCGACTGAAATGGCTTGAACGTGTTACATATGTCAAGACACCTCGTGCCTCGACATACAACACCAACCGAAGGATTGGGTTGAAAGAAAACTAAGAATGGCTCGACGAAGATATGGTATCGACTTATGAAGTCTCTGATTGTTGGTCTGAACAGTGTGGGGAAGTGTGGACTGCCTGGCTGGAGTACTCACGACAACAGAATTCATTGGATGGAAACTTTTGGTGATATGACTCAAAACTGACGACAATGGTATAGATGTATACATTCCCTCTCATCTTTGAAGTTCCTGGAATTTAACTATCACTTAATTATTCTCTCACCTTTCGTACAATTTTGTCTACTTTAATGTAATTCTTGTTCCATCTATCATTTTGCGCATGATAGTGTCAAGTGCGGCAACTTGAAGTGATGCACTTCTATACATTGTGATGATTTTATAATCAATATTACCAAACAAATATGGAGGACAGCAATTTTAAAAAAGCTTATTTCAACTGTCCGAGTCTCTTGTTTGAAACTGGTAGAGGGATTCGAACAGTTCACCAAATCAACTGTCTTGAATTGCTGTCATCAATATCTGAATACGAATAGATACAGTTTTCAACTAACTTTTGAGCACAGCAACTTAGGCGATGCATATTTTTCTGAGGATTCAATTGCAACCTATTAAAGGGTACTATTTTTATATCTCAAATATGTTTTCGGTTTTAACTAGTACTACTAATAGCTTAAATGATTAATGACTAATTAACGTGTTACCTCACAGTAATTTACAATCCATGTGCTTTTTATAAATAATTGCTGCATATGCATTTCTACTTTGCTTGTAATACCATTAAACTTCATTTATTTACCTAACAGTTAGCCGGGGTACAAACTACACTTCAGAAACTGGTTAGCTTTTTTACCTAATGTTGTTTATTTTGTATACGATATAGATTCCAGTCACGTGTGATCAAAAAACATTGTTTTGCTGCATTTGAGAAAAAGTACATAGAAAACGTATACCCCATTGCCCTCAAAAAAATATTTTTTCAAATGAAAATCTCTATCAGAGATTTAAATCAATGATTTAAATTCATATCTCATCATTATAATCAATGAATCATACATTCAGGTCATAGATTACTGTTTACTGACACAAAATTAGTTTGCTTTAAAGCTCGATTACACAAATATGTGTAAAACATTCAGATGAAAATAAATATTTACAAAATAGGCATCAGCTATTAATTACTAATGCTTTCATACATACTCTCTTACCATGAGAGTCAATATATCAAATAATCTGGCTAGCCATTTGTTTTCTATTATCGTAAAAGATAGTGTTCTGCAGAATACTATCATTTTTAACCCTTACATACAAACCCCTTTACTAATCAATCTCGTCACCTTCAACTTATCTTCCTGATAACTGCAGTTTATCGCTAGAAGACGACCGTAGATAATCAAATAGAAAAAATCAACATGGCACCATGTAAAGAAGTACATTCATTCGAGATGCGTAATTTAGACAATGACAACATAGAAAGAAGTGAACAGAAATAGAATGATACTAAAATATACATGAAAAATATTAGAAAAGGTTAAATAAATCAATGAAAAGGAGACTGACATCATCATTCGTAATCAGTTTAGAAGGAATGGATCCCAAGCCACAAATGTGATCAACTATAGGAATAAGATGAAAATCAAAAGAAATCAACAATGTTCAGAACTTTGAAGTTGATGAAACAGGAAAACCTATAGGCTAGTGTGATAGATAATGAGTTATATTACCAAGTCTTCAACATCTTAACAACTCCTGCTAGATAGCATACAAATCAAATTAACAGGAAGTCAGTTAAGACGTAAACACGTCCAAATTTGCTTACATCACATCACTATTTTCTTTGAGTTAATTAAGAC